ACCTTACCTGTCGTCTTGGGATCTTGCTTCTACGACCTTCATAATATTCAATGACTCTATGCTGGTACATATTGGAGGTCTATTAACTAATTTATTTGTAGACGAAACATATAATGCTTTATTATTGAATATAAATTGACGTGGAAATAGTTTGTTTTGCTTTGATACTTGAATATCTTCGAATATCTTAATATATTCATACTTTTAGTATTTTTATAGTTTGTGTCTTGATTGAAATAACATCGAGAAATTTTTTGTTGAAATTTCACATGTTTTAGTTAAAGTTTCTCCAAGGTTCTGTATATTGTTGTTGCCAGCAACAAATGTCGCATATTCTCTGTTTCCATCAGGGATTGAAAACAGTTATGATATCGGTTTCTGTTCTTGGAACAGTTCTGAAGAACCGAAATAAGTATTCGGTATATCAGTTTCGGTACCAGTTCTTCAGAATTTATATTATATCGCTTCTAAACGATACGAAACGGTTCTATAACTGTAATTTTTTGATTTTTCATTTTAGTTTTTCATAACTGTTTCAAAGACCAAAAAATAATAGTTATAGAAACGACACAGAATCTATATAATATCAGTTCTAAAGAATTAGAAGCGAAACCGATATACCAAGTAACAGTTATAATTTATTTCGGTTCTTCATAACTGTTTCAGTCGTAACCGATAATATAACAGTTTCAAACGGTTATTTTCGAAATCTTTTCAATCTCTGGGCAGAACGGAACACCAATGTTTCTCGTAGATAAGGAGCTCGTATCGAGCTGGTGTTGTATGATATAGACTTAATAAGCGTTCGGTATAGTTGGTGATCGTCTGCCGATCAGTGCACAAGTATTACCTACAAAAAATGTTAGTGTTCCGTTTCATCCATCCATTCCATTTTATCATACTCTTTCATATGCCTTGTTTTGCCGCCCGACTCTCAACGCATTGCCGCTGTCGATGTCAATGTTACTGAAAAGTTGTTCAGAATGATGTCCTTGACAGTATATGCAGAAGTTAATATCATTAATACGGTGTCACTGAAGTTAATCATTAGCAAATATTATTCCTAATTATTGAGAGAAATGGTTCCTGAAGAAAGGACATATCAGCATAATAAATGTCCAGCCTCTTGTGCACGTAAAAGAAGAGTTACACTAAATACGGTGAATGGGTTGTGACTAGTTCGCCCCCCCTCCATACAACCTATTTGTTTTCTTTTGAAGAAAACAATGAAGAATATTAACTACCAAGAAAAGGAAGTGTTAAAAAATGTAAATCAGCGAAGTACTTTCTACAATCATACTGGAAATGATAAGCAGTGCGCGGACTTCGGCAGCGTATCAGTCGCATGTTTATGAAACTGAACACCACTTCGAGCACTTCTTATGACGTGAGTTATGCTGTATATCGAATGGTCCTGTATGTAGATCATTAGAATTGTTTGAACGTTAAATACGTTAGTGGAGATAAAAAGTATAGCATATTTATAGTACGTATTAAAACATATTCATATGCTATATACAATATAAAATAAAAACTGTTTATAAGAAAAATGAGTTCGAAAGGATGTATACATCAATGATTAATCATTATAAAAGATTATTCAACTCACTCTGGTGAAGTAATTGTTATATAAAGGTAACAATGCGAACGCTGTGAGATTCAATTATTCCCATGACACATAATACACTAGGAACGTGATACTAAGATATTCCTTGGAAGTCAAGAGCAAGCAACAATGAAAACTACGCGCACCAGGATAATTCATATACCACAGAATATTTCAGATGTCTCAAATCAGGTGTTTGTAAACTTTGGAAAATTGTGGAACTGCGTGTATATGTTTTCACTTTTCTTTATCAACCTCAATAACGTTGTGTGCATCGCTCTACTTGCTGTTATTATCTATACACTGTATCATATGTATACGTTTGTGACGAATTATACGACATAAATCGAAAGATCTGATAACAGAATGCAATCAGACCTCGACTGTCGATGATGACAACTTTCACAAAGCGATACTACGTTTTAAAGTACTTGGTCATTACAACCTAATTGATAGGTTCAGAAATCAAACGGTGTAAGTTACATTTTCATTGTAAATATTTAACGAGTAATTCTGTTATTGGAACTTTCGGTTAATAAAAACATAAATCTACAACATCACTAATAATTCAGCAGAGAAATTAATATATAAATATAATGTACAAAAAGTAATTTTCAAAATTAATTTTTCAAATTCAAAGATTCTACTAAACAGAAGTATTGACTTAAATTATATAATTTTGATATAATCAATTGTTGGATATACAAATATTAAGTTCCTTCAGAAACATATATACTTAACACAGAATAAATTCAAAATTTCGATTATTTAAAAAAATATATACTTAAACGGTCTTTTTAAATTTATGCCTTTGTAATAATAACACATCCTTAAAATATTATGCGAAATGTTAATATACCTAGTACAACAATATTACTTTTATATCATAAATAAAAAAAACATCTTTACTGATATCTTCAATAGATTCGTAGAAAAAGAGATAAAATAAAGTCAACAAAACATTTTACATACACAGAGATTGATGATCTGTACACATTTATGTCTACATATAAACGAATTTTATGTGTTGGTACAGATAAGAATATAACAGGAGAGTAGGTATAATTGTTTGGATGAAATGACTCATTGATTACATAGTTTAAAAAATACATCTTAAAATAAGTATTTTATATTAATATCAAAAAAAATAATTTTCCCTTTTATATTAATTTCAGCGAATCACAGACTTGTAGTATAACTTTCCAACACTTTGAAAAAAGTTTACATTCGTGTAGCAATTAAGAAATATATTTCTTAAGAAAAATTTGGTGTAATGTTCTATTAACAATAAATTCATAATCATTTGTATTGATACCAAAAAAAGTACTAATAACATACAATTTTAATATATTACTTACTTTGTGTTAAATCGTTTATACTATAACATTGTAAAATCATTTTTAAAAGAAACTGCTTAATGCGATTAATAATTGTTATTAAACATACTCTGATTCATTTACACAAAAATCTATATATTCGAAAATGAAATGATCATTCATAATATATCTACGTTTTATAATTAAGTATTTAAATATACTCAATAAAGACATCAAATTCGTATGTTTTTATTTTATGAAATTTGTTTTATATCTTAGGAATATCGCCATGCAACTATTATCTCAAGCTTATTAGTACACAAGCAAGAACTTATAGAATTTTGGAAAAATTCTTCATATCAAATGATGGTTGAATAAAATTGTATTTAAAGAATGTTATGGTAGATTATAATTAACGTTCACATTACAATATTGTGTAAACGTTTATTTTTATGTGTAATACTGTCGAGATGTTTTAAGGTAGTATCATAATTTCATTCGTGCGACCTTTGAATATAAACATATTTCTAATTACATTGCAATTACTTACAAAGAGACATCAAATAAATAAAATATTTATTATGTATACAATAAACAACTTTCTCGTTCCTGTTTATAAAAGTATTCAACCATGTGCAATGTTCACGAAATACTACTATAAAATTTATTATAAAAAAAGTATTTTTTAACGTATTTCCTATCTTTTCATGATTTTAATAAAAATTTCTGAAAATTACGAATAAAAATGTAACAAAAATATAATAGTTGGATAAACTGTATATTGAAATCTGTTGACCTTATAATGAAAATTTTACTAGAGCAGAACATAACTGTATAACAATCTAACATTTATATCGTGGTATAAAAAAGTTAAAAAAAAATTATTAAAAGTATTAAAAGAAATATTTGAATTATTTATATTGATATCCAATAGTATTACAAAGTGATTAAGTTACATATGGAATAAGGAATATTTGTATAATGAATATATTTACGTCAAGTAAAGTATTCCTTTTGGAAGAAATTTCTTCTATATACATACTTTTATGTACAATTTGAATGAGCTATACGAGAATGTATACGGAAAAGTAACATATTATATCTCATACAAAGTATTTTGTTTCATTTTATTATATGCACAATTTTTTTCTGTCTGTCGATACATGTATAAATACTAAAAATTAGTCAGCGTATTTAAAAAATGCACAAATCAATGGTGTGCAACCATTTTAAGCACAAAAATGAATAGTTAATAATGAATAGTGAATAATAAATAGAAGTACATAATTTATAAGTACACATATAGAATCGACTCTTCCAAAAATTTTCGGAAGTGATACTTCTGTAATTTGTATCTGAACATCTATAATCCTTTATTATGACTACATATAAAGACAGAGAACTTGACCTTGGTATTTCATCTGAAGCAATCTTTTCGGGTTATGTTATGTAGTTGTGCGCTGAAGTAAGCACACAAATACATTTTCACAAACCCACACTTACTAAAACCAAGTCTTAACAACTTGGGAAGGACGGATAACAATGTAAACATAATAAGTTGCTATATCTTACATAGCGGATTGTCGATTACTTTCTTACATAAATAAGAATTGTTCCTTAAATTTGTTTCGCCTGTCAATTATTAAATATTTTAACGGAATATTTTCTCAATATTTATTAACACATTTCGTAATAACACTTATATTATACAATCTTTTTAATTAAATGTGTATACAATCTTAATATTGGACTGTTTTTTGTAAAAGTGAAATCATCCTTTTTTGACTTTTTTCTATATTTATAAAATAGGTCAGTTTATAAATTAAAAAATATATCATATTATATTCATAAAAAGAATTAAATGCATAATGCATTTTTATACATTTTTTTATAATTGCATATCAATATTGTAAAATGATTAAATTTCCATCTATGTAAAAATTCCCATACAATACATGTAAAGGTATGGTTAAGAAAGATGCAAGTTCCACAAATCATTGATACGATCCTGTACACAGCACCTCTACGCGCAACGCGCATGCGCTTTTCATCAAAACTCGATAGCTGATTCGCCAATGCAGCATACTTTCAAGTTGGCTAGTCTGCGAGTCTTTGTTCGCAGTAACGACGGTTAAATTCGTCAGCATTTCTCGGCAGACGGTTAACCGGTCTCATTCGGCTTTGGACAATAAACGAAGGGCAGAATTCAACGTGTTACTTTCTCTGACCGGATCGACGTGACTTCTTCGTTTATAAATTTTCATTAACAATCAAAACGTAAGTACTGTCAAAAGTGACTTTACATTCTATCAATACCGTTCAGCCATATTTGCCGGTAAACGCAACGTTTTATTTTATCGATGTGCACGTGTATATTTACTACGCAGCGTTAAGCAATTCCAGCAAAGAATCTATTAGTACTAAATGTCATTTGTTGATTTTTAAGTAAAATATTGTACACAATACACAGATTATTATTGTGTGAAAAAGTAATCTTGGTATTCCTATAAACGTGAATATTTTATATGAAAATGTGTCGAAAGATGAGCTCTGAATAATGCTAGGTCAAAGAAAAAAACAGTAGACAAAACTGTTTTGCCGAATTCCAGCTTGTTTTGTTGATTCTCGGAAACGCATTAACGGTTATATAAAAGTACTTGAATCTACTGAAGTATTTGTATTACGTTTTTCTGTATTTGTAAGAATGACGTTTTAAGTTATAATGTAAGGATTTCCCAACAACTGAGATGTATAAAGAATCTTATTAAAATATATATATAAAACTTTTCAAGTATAACAATAATTGAAAATATATTGTTCAAAATAAACAAAAATATTTGTAAGCAGAAGTGTAGTATGTAGATTATGTTCACATGTTTTAATGAATACTTAGTAAAAAGACATAAGTGTAACAATGTATTATGTTATATATGTGAAGATGAAAAAACGGGCACTTTATATTACACAAAATTAAATGTACATATCTAAAAAATATA